GTAAAACATAAAGTTTTCTTTAAAGAACATGTTCTTTTACTCTTATTCAGGTTTTCATGGTTATTGGCTCAATTTATTCTTCCTCCTTGAGCATTTTTATGTTGAATCTCTTTAAATATACTTGTGTAGACTTGTCTTTTTATTGAGTGACATTGAAAAGCACTGTGGAGGTTTTCTTGATGGGCATGTTAGTGCTAAAACATGTCACTAGCTTTGCATATAGGTCATTAAAACCTTTAATAAAGTTTGGTTCCAAGTTGATATACCAAACACGCATAGATCCTATAAAGGTTAAAGGGAATATCTTGCACATTTGGTTATAGTCTTGAATGATCAACTCCAAACTATTATGTATATTTTGTATATGCTCTCTTGAGTCGATCAAGTTATTTTCGTTGCCTAAACTCATATTCATGGAAAAGTAGTCTTTAGAGAGTTGAGTTTTCAATTTGTGTTTGGATAAAGAAAAAACCATCTACTGATATATAGACATTCCCTCAGGTATGCTTATTTTCTTGAGCATGCTCGGTCACAAACTATCTCCTCGCTCTTTATTTGTTGAGCTTTTGGGAGTCAAAAGGGCTTGGTGTAAATTGAAAATTATGATGACTAGTGTTTATCATATAGTAACTAAGAGGAGTGTGTTTGGAGTGTTTGTTATATGCACGAGTGTGATAATAATGTAAGTGATCATTTGAGGAACTTTCATGAACATGAAAGGGCTTGGTGTAAAATGACAATTACGATGACTAGTGTTTATCCTATAGTAACTAAGAGGAGTGTGTTTGAAGTGTTTGTTATATGCACGAATGTGATAATAGTGTGAGTGATCATTTGAGGAACTTTCATGAACATATTTTGTCTAGTCTACTCTAAGTAATGTAATTATCTATGAGCTCTTGGTACAGTTGATGACTTTAGTGTTAAGATATAATGTGTTATTAAAGGTGTTAAGATTTGATGGGTTAACAAGGTTTGATTTTGCTCTCAGGTTGTTAACACGACTTGAGTGAGGAGTTGCACTTGTCTAGTGAGTTGATGAAACTCATGCTGGGGAGGAGTGTCTGCAATAATAAATTGATTTGTCCCGCTTTCTATCCCTAGAGGTTAATCATTATAAGCCATGAAATGCCCTGGAAATGCTAAAAACAAGTTTTAGAAAGAAACAAATGACTTTTCTATTAGATTCTTATAGACAACGCAACCAATTATGTCCTCAAAATCCAACTAGTTTGGGAATAGGGCTCCCAGGTTGAACAATCGATTAATCAATTGGTCATAATAATCTTCTCTATTTTCCCTAGCCAAGGTAATTGATAACTTATAATTGATCCTTGGTAGATCAAAATTGCTCGTGGTTAGTACCTATAAAAAGTTCTTTTCGATAAAGGTAGGGACTCCGATGCTTATGGAGCATCTTTATTTTTTTTTTAAAAAATATAAGAATATTCTAGAGAGAGGCTATGAAAATATATATGTAGTAAAGAATACAAAAAAATATAAGAATATTCTAAAGAGATGCTATGAAAATATATATGTAGTAAAGAATAAAGATTATAAACCTTTGTTATGAAATGTTTCATGGTGTATTTATAGCCTATGAGTCTTGTCTTTTTGGGAAGAGGAGAGCTTGCATCGTAATTATCCTGATAACATTTAATAAGAAATAAATATCCCTTACAGTTGTATTAATGTTTGATGAAAATATAATGGTTTTTGAAGGGCTTTTATACATATAAAAAGGTGATGTGAAGATTAAAGTTTAAGACTTCAAACTTAGCTTAGCTTATGGAAGTTGATTTCTTCCTCGAGGTTAGACTCAATGGAGAATGATTATTTTTTTAGGCGTGCCTAAAAGAGAACGATCATTGTCTTGGACTTGACTAACTATTAAGTCCAAGTGCCTTGAGTTTGACATGTTTGTAAAACCCCTATTGTCTTGGACTTGGCGAAATGTTAAGTCTAAATATCTTGGGTATAACATGTTTGCCAGACTCACGTTACCTTGGACTTAGTTGATTGTCAAGTTAAAGTGTTGGACTTGGTATATTGTTAAACCTAAAAGCATTTCAAACGTGCCTGAGACTTGATACACTATCATACCCCCAAGTGGTTAGCCTTGGTCCACTACTAAGCCTCAACTTGAGACATGCTCGTTCCCTTAAGCCTGTCTAAGAAAGAAGGATCATAAATGTTTTTTAAACTCGTTAAAAATAAATTTGTTATTGGTGTAATGTAAAAATAATGCTAAGGACAACAACTCAAACTAGATAGATTTGATTCCTAACTTAGATTCTAAGTTATTATTTAATATAACTATCATTATATTATATTAGGATTTTTTTTGTTATTTTCCAGCAAGTAAATTAGGCTAGGAATTAAGGATGCATTAATAAAATATCAAATTCATTTCATGAATTTTTCTGAACAATATTTCTTTTTTTTTTCTTGAGTTTCCATCACCTTGGCTATATCATTCCACATTTTAATGTGATTTTTTTCCATGGTAAAGAACCAACTCTGGACCAATTTATACATCAATTGAAATAAAGATCTCCATCGAAAATAATATAAGAGATCGAGTCCATAGATGAACATTGAAAAATTGACCAAAAAAATATGGAAGCATAGGCGTTTTATAATGGCAGGAGAGATGACGACAGCCCAAAACTATAATGGCAGGAGAGATGACGACAGCCCATTAACTATCAACTAGTTTTAATATAGTTACAAAATTTATCATCTTGTTTTCGGTGTATCTTTAGTTAGTTTTTACGGTTGTAATTAATTATGTTTAAAAAATACTATAAATTATAGGTTTTTTAAGCTCAAAATCAATTTTTTATTATAATTTAAAATAAATAATAAATAATTTTTGTAATTATATTCAATGTAAAAATATATCGTACCACATCTTTACCGAATGGAGTAATTAAGGCAACTTTGGTACCTACCAATCATGCAGCAGCCACTCTAAATGCATTTGTCCACCTTTCTCTCCTATTCATCCATCTTTTCCCTAATTCAGACACCCTCCCTCCTTTTCTCTTATATTAACTAGTTGTTTTTTCAACCCAAAAAAACAACTAGTTATTTTCCTTTAATAGTTTTCGCCAGAACCTAGGAACCTAGAAAGCTAGCGCTTAGCATCTGCAGCAGCAGCCATGGCAGCTAATAAGGTGGCCTACCTCTCCCTTCTTTATATGACTCTTGGTTTGGTACTAGTGGCCACCGTTTCTGCTGATCCTGACCTGCTTCAAGATGTTTGCGTTGCTGATCTTTCTTCTGGTATTTCTTCTTCCACTATTGTTTTTAATTTCCTTTTGATCGTAGTTAATTATATACATGATTGGTATAGGGTAGGAGAGTTGACTTGCCCAGCCTTTTCCTCTGTTCCTTGCCAACACAATTTCCTCATCTTTCTTGGATCTCACCTTTTTGTCTTTGATTCTGTTTTATTTTGAATACATTTTCTTGCTTATGTGCTAATGTTACTAGTTTGATAATTTGTGACATGACATGCTTATTTAATTAAACAGGTGTGAAGGTGAATGGATTCACCTGCAAGGAAAACATATCGGCAGAGGACTTCTTCTTTGCCGGTTTGGCTAAACCAGGTCTCACCAACAATACATTCGGCTCCTTGGTCACTGCTGCCAATGTTCAAAAGATCCCAGGACTCAACACCTTGGGGGTATCCATGTCCCGCATTGACTACGCCCCTGGTGGCTTAAACCCACCCCACACACATCCACGTGCCAGTGAGATGGTCTTTGTCCTTGAAGGCCAACTGGACGTGGGGTTCATTACCACTGCTAACGTTTTGATATCAAAGACCATCAAGGTGGGCGAGACATTTGTTTTCCCCAAAGGCTTAGTTCATTTCCAGAAGAACAACGGTCAAGTCTCAGCTGCAGTGATTGCTGCATTCAATAGCCAGTTGCCAGGAACTCAGTCAATTGCAGCCACATTGTTTGCAGCCCAACCACCCGTGCCTGACCATGTCTTGACCAAGGCTTTCCAGGTAGGTACCAAGGAGGTCCGTAAGATCAAGTCCAGGTTTGCACCTAAGAAGTAGATGATTGGTTGACTGTATAAAAACACAAGTACGTACGCTAGGTTTTGATTATAAATTAATAAATCTTACAGCTGTGCCTAGCTGGGGTTTTTTGATTGTTATTCTTCCTGTAACAGTTTTTTAAAGGGAGAAATTTGTGTTTGATGGATCATCTAGGAGATTAAATGATTAATCGACATGTAATCTTCTACAGACCGTTCTTCCACTGAATAAAATATCAAAGCATCAATTTGTTGTTTTAGCCAGTTATATATATATATATATATAATAAAACCATGCTTGACAGAGACCATATGTATTTCTCAGATAGATATAAAACCATGCTCGACAGAGACCATATGTATTTCTCAGATAGATGCATGAAATGCATTAGATTAGACAAGCAGCATGTTTTATGAAGTCAGTTTACGGAGGAAGACTTTCTACCTCCATGCCGTAGCCAGCTAACCCACCAATTCACTTGACAATATTTCGATCACTTGATTTTGTTTGTCCAGTGCTTACATTTCGAGAATAGTTCCATCAAGTTTGAAGACTTGTCTTTTTATTAGTGTTCTAGACTGGATAGATGCCGTAAAAACACACGATTATATGTTTGAAAAACAAGTTCTCTCCATCTTCACCTCCTCCTCATTACCCTTCAAATAAATGTATTTTGTCATCACCTTAGCCATCTACATGTGGATGTGCGCTGAGGACATGCCATAAGCAGGGAAGGGAAAAGGAACTAGCCCTTGCTCGAGAAAGTCAAACCGCAATCAAGTAATTGGGGTGGCTGATGGCTCACTATTTTATTTAAATCCCACCATTCGCTTTACATTTACCCAATATAAAATAATCACTCGTTACCATACTAGTAAGTGCAGATCATGATAATGCGTAACTAATAAAAAATGTTGATGACAATCAGAAACAACAATTGAGTATGGTCCATTTATTAACAAATCATGAATTTCACCTAATTCTTTTTATATTATTATTTAGCAATGCACAGAGTTCAAGTTCTAGTCGGGGAAAAAAATTAAATTTGGACCATCCTCTCCTTCCATGTTCATGGCACTCTTGCGTGTTGCTCCTAAAAGTACAATTAATCATTGATTAACAGAACTCCCCGAGTTAATGCAATGGCTTAATCCATAAGAAAAACCTTCCTGTCTCATCCCATCATCTTTCAATGCACTAGTAAGTTTCTTGTCTTGTTTATCTTACCTGAAAATGACAACAAGAGGTGATTGTGGTAGGTGTACTCATCTCATTAAAGAAAAATCTTACCTGAAAATGTCAACAAGAGGTGATTTTGGTAGGTGTACTCATCTCATTAAAGAAAAGAAGCTGCAGATGTGATAGCCGTCATCACGCCAAAGTGGGTAAGTTTGGCATAACAGGACAGACAATCAAGGTAATAATAATTGTGACTTAATTAGAACCCACTATACAAATGCTTGTCACTTGATCACTGCTATCATACAGTTCCAATTTCACACAAGGAAAGAGGGCACAATCCATGTCGCTGGTTTTACTCGATCCCCGGGGCATGGAATCAAGAACTAAAACTTTCAAGTCTGCAAAGTTAGGTGCTCCTTGTAGACCTAATCGCATCTGTATACGAGGAACAGTTAAAATGACCAAGGAAGCTAAATTCAATACGAGGAACCACAGGAAAATGTAGTTTATCATAGCCACATTCACATAGTTAAAAAAGCCAAATCCCATCAGCATCTATACTGCTTCTGGATTCAACAAGAACATCTTTATCTGAAACTTGGAAATCTACCAAAACCACATTAACTGGTTGAAAAGGCACCATTCAATTCGTACAACATCTATAGCAAGGTAAATTAGTTAAGTATCACATCAAAAACTACAGAACAAATTCATGTCTGTATGTAAAAGGTCCAAATCTCATCTTACATAGTTTTAGGAAAAATGTTCACTCCAGAACACCAGAGAGTATGCTAATCAAATATGAAGGTCTACTTCAATGAGGTTGCTTGTCGGCCATCTGGAATTGCAAACAGAACTATGGGCTTCGAAGGTCTGACAAATGGAACATCACATCTAAAGTAGCCCTTCCTCTCCAACTGCAATATCTCTCCACGCTTCAAATTTCGCATGTTTGAATCCCCAAGAGCTGCAGTCTCCTTCTTGGTAAATGGGTTAAGCACATCTTGGAAACTTTCTCCCTCCTCCAGCTGCATCAACAAATACAAGCGCCAACCAACAATTAAAATTTTACATAGCAGCCACTCAGTATGGTTACAATTCTGCTCTCAAAATCTATGACAAGTATAATGTTTTATGCAAAACATCATGCCACACAACTATAGTGTCTAACTAGATTCTTTTACCATCTATTCCTACCCAGCTTCATCACCACCAAAAGCCCCCCACACAACTATAATGTCTATTTTAGATTGAATATAAACTGATTCCAATGTGAAAGAGTCCATTACAAGGGTCCATCCCCCATTATTCATTTTGTGTGCTACTTGTACATTCAACCATAAACAAAATGTTCAATTAAATAGATGCATCAAATGGAGTTACCCATTTCAAAGTTTCTTATGTATTCATTCTACTCTCTTCACACACGCCCACAAAGGGGTGAAAACACTACAAGGCCACTTTCAAAACTTGACATGTTAAATACATTATATGTACTGGAATAAATCAACCACTGAAACTCTACATTCAGAAAATTAGAGAAAAAAACAGCTCAAATAAACAATAATGCCAAAAAGTTTTTACGAAAACTGTAAAATAAATTTGAAAAGTAGATGGTCAACATTCTCCAAGCTGGTTTGAAAAAGAATTTGATCCCAAGAACACATTGAGAAGTCATTCAGTCAAAACTACAGTGACATGAGAAAAAAATAACTCGTGGCTTATGAAATGATCACCCCATCTACAGGGAAAAATATAATTAGCCATTAAAAGTACAGTATTTCAGTGGCCAAAACAGTAACAAAAAAGTTAGGAGGACAAAAAAAGAACAAACTCACTCAGAAATCAATAGAAAACAGAGAATAAAAAACCACAGCCTCAACAACTAAGGTTCTCAAAGTAGACAAGTTTTAAACAGACACAAAATTGTATTCTTTTAAAAAGGAACAAAACAAAAACTTCCAAAGTCCATAAATAAAGAATTACCTTTTTCTTTGTGATTAGATAGTCAAAGTCCACAAGAGTGAGGTTAACTAATTCACTTGTGTCTGGTAGCCAGGTGAGCTTCAACTTTGTGGTCTTGACAGATCCTTCGAGATGCAAGACCCCACTCAAGCGTGTGACCTTTCCATTCTGGTCCTTCTCAATTTCCTTCACTATGGCATTTCCCCAATCCATTAAGGTTATTTCTTCATTTACAGAGATCAACTCTGCATCTGCATGGTCTATCCATATCCTATTTGTGTATGTTGTGGCCTTCTCTCCAGCACCCTCATGTTTCTTGTGCCTTGGAATGATTCGAACAAATGGTTGCTTGGGACCATCAGTCAAGGTTAATGGCACCCTATGTTCTTCAATGACAGCAGTATGCCTGGGACACACAGGATCGATAATCTTCTTATTAATTGTCCAGAGTTTGTCCCATTCCATGAGATTAAGGTTTTTGGATGCCCCCTGAAACGAAATAGAATTAGAATTAAAACTTTAAGAAGATAAAGGGTGAATGCACAAAATAACCTAAGAGTATAAATCAATGGACATATGCTTGCTTATGTAGAAGTAAATAAGGAATATTGTGATGCAAAAGTGATGAACCTGAACTTGCCATCCTAAGCTGCCTTTTAACCAAAGAATTCAAAAAAATGTCACATGAATGAAATTAAGTTCTTTGGTATAATTGGGAAAAAGAAGGAAAGAATTCACATGTTACGGGAACAACACAAAGTTCTTCAAGGTCCTCAAGCATGTTTTCACTGTATATTCTTCGAGTAGAATGTAAGTTTTTCATCAAATCTGTATACAGCATCTCATATGGACTATCCAATTAACATCAGAATATAAAGATGTGAAGACATGGATGCATGTTAGCTTACCTGTTCAAGGATGAATTGCACCAATGCCTCTACTTTCAAACCTCGGCGAACAATTCCCTGCACAGTTGGAAATCGAGCATCATCCCATCCATCCACCTTTCCATTTTCAACAAACCAACGAAGATGACGCTTGCTGAGAATTGTGTAGACCATATTCAACCGGCTAAATTCATAAAGGTGAACCTTTCGCAGTCCCATATCTGCTTGAATCCTATCATATTGAGCATTTCGATCATGATACTCACTCGATCGGAGTGCATGAGTTATACCTTCTACAGAATCAACAAATGGACATGCAAAATCATATGTTGGGTATATCTTGTATTTGGACCCAATCCGATGGTGAGGAACAGGATTGCAACGATAGTAGACTGGATCTCGAAGAGACTTGTTTGGGTCTTGCATGTCTAACTTCCCACGGACACAGCACTGTAATCCTCTCTCTGATCCTGCAATCATTTCCTTCCACAGTTTCAGATTCTCCACTACACTGTTGCTCCTACATTTTGATTCAATGCCATCCATTCTTTCTTTCTGCATTTGCTCGCGTGGTGTATCGTCAACATAAGCTTTACCCTGGCAGATCAAATTTTCAGCCATTTCCATCAGCTGGGGAAAGTAATCAGATGTATGTGTGATGGTTTCATATTTGATACCCAATGTCTCGATATCTTTTAAAAGATTGTCAACAAATTCATTGCTTTCCTTTGATGGATTTGTATCATCGAAGCGAACTATCATTCGACCTTGGTACCTTTGAGCAAAATACTGGTTGAGTAGAGCCGCTTTTGAGTGCCCGATGTGAAGATAGCCACTAGGTTCAGGAGCAAATCGCAGACACACCTTTCCAATTTCAGCTTCTGGAAGATCTACTTCAGAAGAAGGTTTGCTGATTGCTTTTCCCTTTTCTGGGTTATCCCCACTGACAGCCTGTTGCCCTTTTGGTTTGGCTGCTGCAGGCTTTACTGAGCCCTTTTTGCCAACATAAGTTGATATGACTTCATTCAAAGATTCGCTATACTCATCAAATATTGAATTGAACCAGCGTACCATGTTTGGAAACTTCTTAGACTTCCTACAACTTTCCCATCTCAGCCCAGTTCCTGGGCAGCATGACATGTCATATGCATATCGAGAAGGATTTAAGAAAAAAAATGAATGCTTTAAAAACAAAATGAAATAGATAGGAACAATCTATCAATGCACAT